CCTTCAATTCAAGCAAAATAGGATCTTGGTCTTGCTTTTATTTCACTTTTGACACTGATGAAGATTCGGCCCCATTCATCACCACTACTTATCCTTCTATGGAATCCATTAGTCAGACTCCTAAGCGTGTAAGTCTATGCACATCTTTCGCTAACTCTCACTTTTCCTCCTCAACATGGGCAGTACTACCCATAGACAACCTGCTCAAGGCATCAGCAACAACATTAGCCTTACCTGGGTGGTAAAGAATACTCAGGTCAGAATCCTTGAGTAATTCTAACCACCTCTTTTGTCTGAGATTAAGCTCTATCTGAGTAAACAGATATTGAAGACTCTTGTGATCAGTAAATACATAAACATGAACACCATACAAATAATGACGCCATATCTTCAAAGCAAATACTACGGCAGCCAACTCTAAGTCATGGGTTGGGTAATTTTGCTCATGAACTTTTAACTATCTAGAGGCATAAGTTATAACTTTGCCATTCTGCATTAACACGCAACCCAAACCAAATCTAGATGCATCGCAGTACACCACAAAACCTTGAGTACCCTCTGGTAAAGTTAACACTGGCAGTAGTCAACCTTTTTTTCAATTCCTAAAAGCTTTTCTCACAAGCTTCAGACCATTGAAACTTCATTGTTTTCTAAGTCAACTTGGCTAAAGGAGACTAAATGGATGAGAACCCTTCTACAAACCTTCTATAATAGCCAGCCAAACCAGAGAAACTCGTAATATCAGTTGGAGATGTGGGTCTAGGCCAATTCTGCACTGCCTCAATCTTTTGGGTATCAACTCTATTCCATCACCGGAAACTGTGTGGCCTAAGAACGCCACAGACTCAAGCCAAAACTCACATTTAGAGAACTTAGCATATAACTCTTTATCTTTCAAAGTCTTTTGAGAACTATTCTAAGATGGCTAACATGATCTTCTTCATTCCTTGAATAGATTAGTATGTCATCAATGAAGACGATAACAAACATATCTAAATAAGGTTTGAAAACTCTATTCATAAGGTCCATGAATGA